CTGGGTAAGATATGGTTTATTCACCTGACACGGCTTGTAGCCCGAGAATCTTTACTTCCGCCTCACTATGAGGCCAATTCCAGTGTTGAGGGACACGGAATTAACGGAGAAACAGAGATAAAGAGAAAAAGTGAGAGGCAAAGAAAATTGCCTGGAAGGAAATAAGACGAAACCAAAAAGAAAGAAAGAAAACAAAAAGGACAATATAACAAAAAATTATTTAATTCAAATTTGGTTTCTGTGAATATTTTGGATACTTAATTTCTAGTATGCGGTTTTGGTACACAATCTACAGTCCGTGGGTTCGATACTCCTGAAGCAACTTACTAGTTTCGTCCCACTGCTGTGTTCTAACGCGGGGGGGGGAGACACTTCTGACATTAAACTGGGTGGCAGAAATATTTAAGACGAACAAGAAAGCGACTGCCTTACCAACAAATCAGACAAACAATGGTAACATAATTAATTAATGAATATTTCTGTCTTCTGGGTTGTTGCGCCGTGTAGTCTGGTCGATGTTAAACAACGTTTCGGAGGTCATACTGCCTCCGTCATCAGGGCGATGAGTATGAAGATTGAAACGTTGGTTAACATCGACCAGACTACACAGCGCAACAACCCAGAAGACAGAAATCTTCATACTCACCGCTGTGAAAACCTAAAGTCCTTCATAATTAATTAATGTTGATATAACTGCCCAGAACTACATACGACACTAGTGAAACAAAGTGCAATGCACGGTTAAGAGAACACACGGTCGACCCGGTGACTGAGAGAATCGATTTTAATCGAGTGTTTCGTCATTATATCGTTCGCTGTTAATGAAAACGATAACGTCGCATCGAGAATGGCGGAGGCACAGGACCGCGTTTCCGATTCAATGAAAATTGCTTTCAGACTTACCGCAGTCATCAATGAAACTGACTTGCGCCGTTCCTGCCCGCAAGTGGCAGCTGGACCGAGATTGCTTGAGGTGTGAGAAACAGACGACGTGCTCGATCGGACTGAGGCAGCACAGGACAGTCGCGCGCACATCTAAATGGCCCACCGACGACACTCATCTGCGACCGTCAGCTTCACTACAAGTCGCAAGCACAGATTAATCGATCCTGATTCCGTACTTATGTCTGATCACTTCCTTTTTGAATTCAGGAGGTACTCGGGTCTAGTCTCAAATGAAAGAATTTCGACCACGATTCGTCACTTAATATTTTCCTCGACCCGTAAAAATTAATTCTGTAGGCCTTGTAATCCTGGGGTCTCGGGTTCAAATTTATAACTTGTGTTGGGCAAGGCCGTGGTCTAGGCAACACGGAGTTTTCCTCCGTGGCATCCCAACAATTACTCCATTCACACACAGAAGAAGGCAATGGCAAACCACTTCTGGATCATCTGCCAAGAACGTATATGAACAGGTCCCAGTCCGAAAAAAGGATGGAAGGATCCTGTTCATATGGACCTGTCGTCAGACAGAACACTAAATAAAAAATAAATAAGCCTTTACAAAGAAACGACGATAACGGATTCCCCCAGTCGAGGTTCGTCGACTTTCTGATTCTCATTCGACGTTAAGAAACACACAAATTTATATTTACGTCCAAGACACAAATCTAATGATGTTTATCCACCTGTCTGTCTATCTAAATAACTACAAAACTGCGTAAACCAGCCATCTAGTAGCTAAATAACAAACCAGCTGAACAATTGTGATTTAAGGTTTCCTCTTGATAATACGAAAGTACAACAAATTCTATAAAAATCTGTGCAATAAATCCGGAGATTTAAACATGGCGGACGAGCAAACGTGTGCAAAGAACGCATAAAATAATAAGAAAATTGACAAAAATATTAAAATATAAAATGGTTTATTTTCCAGAAATATTTCGTCTAACAGCGGGGTTAGTAGTTTACGTAACACTGCGCAGGCCAAATGCTTTAAATTACCATAAAACGATGAGGTCTACTTTCTCCTGACACGAACAACAGATACGAGGAAACGTGTGCAATATACCCCAGACACGTCTAATTTAAGAAACAAATGCGAAATAAAAAGTATCTCAATAAAAAGATGTGAACAGAATTAAGTCACCTTCTCTCAGACGGTCACCATATTGTTTTTTTTTCCATCGTTTTTTTTTCTCTCCACGGAAAACAAAAACAGACTGAAATAATCAGCTTGAACGTGTTACAAAATTTCGTTAGAATCACAGAATGTATTTTCCCATGCTTACAATAAATATAAATATTACTTCAAAGTTTTTTTACATATCCTGTAGTTTATATTACGAAGCATTCACATCGAAGTCACGGAAAATCGGGGTATCGAATCTCGGCCCACAGACAGGGTGTTTTAAATTAGGTTTTCGCCTTGTTTGATTATACATACACATTTGGTATCAAATATTGTTTTTGAGCGTTTAGTATATTTCATGGCGACGATGCAAAATGTTGAGGTTATGTCTGACCACTTTTAAGAATGCTAGTAATTACTTTATGGTTTCATATATGCATAAAGATTTAAACATTCATCAGAAACTAAGAGTCATTAAGTTCCTCCCAAAATTTATTATGAAGTCATCAAATTCTTAATCATAGCGAGCTGTTTACAAGATACAGAACAAAACACCAACTATGGAGAAGTAGACCTTAACCAATCAGGTAACAGAAACGGTTTCCGAAACACTTCCTGTCGACTGCGGTGTTCTGGCGTCGTCAGTTGTTGTCAACTTGTCGACTCCAACTTCAGGGCTAAAAATTGAAGTGCTAACTACCTCCGAAATGTTCGTAACCTACAAGAGTATGATAAATTACAATCCAGACTCGTTTTCTCTCGTTCTCCTTTCCAACGTTTTTCAACTCCAAAGAACGGGAAGAATTGGGAAGGACGCGATCTTTTTTTTTTTCTTCGAGGTTCTATCCCAACATGTTCTTGAAGATTCCGTACAAAAACACGAAAAATTACACCAAGGATTGCCGGCCTTTCAGCCACGACCGACAGCGGGACCTCCGAAGCACAAATGCGAGGGACACCAGGACGTCCGATGCCAAGACCACGTACTGAATACAGACGGCGCTCTGGGATGGACGGATGGACTCGTCGATCCATGGACAGACGGATTTGTCTGCAATAAGTCAGGTCAGCACTCCGCGCTGTGAGCAACTCTTCCTTTCATTGATGGTAGGTGGGTGCAAAGACTCTCTATCATCAGCCTCCCACTGACTACGAAGTTCCATTCACAACTTGTCTAGCGGCAATTTCAAAAACATTACACCCAGTCCTGCAATGCGTCCGAGGGATTCTAGTGGATCAGAAGCCTTCCTTACAGAAGGTCTCAAATTCGCTACCGTCTTCATGCATTACAAAGAAAAATACTTATTTAATCTCGGAAATAAGTCGACGGATTTCAATTAAATTTGACATGCAGATGTGTACATTCAAAGCTATCGTGTAGGTATTTATTAACGTCACACAAAAAACGGTCATCGGGGAAGTTAAGCTGCTCGTAGAGATCTCACTTTCTTATAAAAAAAAATTGCATGCAAAACATTTCACGGCGTAACAAAATACTTGTAAAAAAAAAACACGGCTTCGATCAAAAGTTTAGCAACTTTGAGAATAAAACAATTTACGAAGATGACTGTCTTCTTCATATATTTATTTCTTTATTTGTTTGTTTTTATATCCAAACACTCCCATTCGACAGACGAAACTACAAACATTACCGTACCCCAAACAGTACTTCGGAGCTAGGGTTTCGATTCCCGGTACGAGCACTGACATTTCATCTCGACATAACTGCACCCAGCCTCCTATGCAGTGGATAACAGGTTTTTCATTCAGATACAAAGCGGCTGGAGCTTAAGGCTGAGCATTTATCAAAATTCTGTGTGGAGATTCATCCCTCGTTCCTTTTACGTGATGCTCGTCACATTTTTTCATATATTACGATGTCTCGGTTTCGATTCCGGGCCCAAAGATGGGTTAACCGGACGTTCTTAGTGATTTTATTTTCAGTCTTTCCGTGCACATGCGAGGAATGTACCTTAAAACAAATCACGACCACTTCCATCCACATAATTCACAATTAACGAATCATATAATCCTTCCATTCAACGTTATCCGACCAACACAGTGTAAAGTAGATGTTTTTATGCTGAATAGTAGACGGCGGACATGAGGACAGTCACGAAACTGCCAAGGCAGCGTGACCAAACCGAAAAATAAAGCAGAGCCTGTGGTAGCAGAAGAATTTACGCGGGTCCCAGAGGCAGCAAAAACCCTCCGCGTTCCTGATGACTGCCTCAGTTTCCCAAGCTCCTCTCACCTTCGCGACTTTTTCACTCATAAAGAACTTCATTCCTCGGGGTGGGAATCCGTCTAGGTGAAAGTCAGTAAGAGACGCAATTAGTCTTGAGATAATTTAATAATAAATTATCACGACTTTATTTGGTTAACGAGCTGTATTGTTTGGGATATAAAATCACGGAAAACAAATGCGCAGGGCACACCGCGGGTAGAATAGAAAATATTTCCAAAATTATAGCTGAAAAAATTTTCAAGAGAAAGATGGTACACGGTAGTCACGAGAATAAAATAAATGATAATATAAAACTTATATTAATGAAATACGGTATGACGTTGAGGACTGGATTCAAGAGGCTTGGGGTGCAGTCCAATGGTGGACAAATCTACAAGATTTCTGTCTTCTGGGTTGTTGCGCCGCGTAGTCTGGTAGATTTCCACCGACGTTTCAGAGGTCATACTGCCTCCGTCATCAGAGCGATGAAATCAAACCATACAAATCTTCTAGTTTCATAAAGCAGGGGAAAATTTTAACTGATTATTTACATTTTAGGACGGAGAAATCGTTTAACAAACGTAAATAAATTACGATCAAATATCGTTATTCCGAAACATGAATATGAATCAAAGTAATTAAAATACTAATAAGAGAGATTTGCAAACTTAACAAGCCACGGGGTCAGTGAAACGAACTCACCCCTTCTGCTTGCACGAAATCCCCTTGCTGACAAGGGCTCGTCGAAGTTCTATCAGCACCTGCTCGGGGTTGTTACTGGAAGTTGTCGAGACATTGCACAGTCCCTGTAACCAGAAAAATGTGCACACACTCGCCTTTAGCTGAAGATTAACACGAATCTCGCACGAGACCCACGAGCTAATTTCACAAACCAAAAACTAGAAAAAAAAAATTTCACCTTTCACGAATTATGCCTCTGTCAGGTTCTGATTCACAATTGAATTTTAAATAATCAAGTAGACGCTTGGTATGAGTCTCTGATGTATAATAGGCTCCTCAACGCAACACAAAGTGTTCGTACATCCAATGTTCGAAAGGAAACCAAAAATAGTAACACAAACACAACGTCAATATTCAAACACAAAACTTCACTGCATTAATATTTTCGGAATGTGTTGTTGCTTTTTATGTGATTGCTGTCTCATGACTAATGTTATGGACACGAAGATTTTCCTTGGGCTTTAGTTATAGAATATAATTTTTCGACATCGATTCTTAGACGCCATAAAATGTAAGATACTTTAAAATGTAAAAAAAGGCGTGTCTTAAAATCTACGAAAACGGTAATTTTAAATAAGGCAAATATCGATACCTATAGTTCTAACATCCCGAAAATTAATTTCTCTTAAATCACTGTTTCCAGACTGACGAACATGTGCTTGAAAGTATTATAAATAAAAATAAATAAAATTAATGCCAGCATGACTGGCATCAAATTATCAGTCCTGTCATTTTGCAGCATGATTTAAAAGTATAAAAACTCCATTCTACTAATGGCATAGATACTGACAATTTAGGTTAAAATTAATAAATTCAAAAAAGTTATCAGGCAAATATCCACTTACTAAAATGTGTGGAAGGCAAAACGGTTGCATCACAGACAAAAACATCAGCCAGCTACATCCACCTAAAATCCTCGCAACTTCACATCCTCTAACATCCATTTTAATATTATCTATGAATCTCCCTTATTGCTTTCAAAGAGGAAAACGCCAATATTCTGTACGCATTTTTTGTCTCCCCTAAAGAGTTACATGTCAAATGTTAAGCCGTGCACAATCGCTCAACTTGAGCGCAGTTAATAATCTATTCACCTGTTCAAGAAAATCATTCCTCCACCCAAATGTTCATCACCTTGTCCACAAAAGCCAGATTGTCTATCCTAAACTGAATCAGTTTAGAGTTAAGAACCTTTTCCTGAAACACGAATTTTGTACTATCGATTGAATAAGTCCACGTAATCTTTTAAAATTTCCCGCAGCTGAATTTAATTTAGGAAACAATTTTTCATCTTTTGTCTGCGTAGTTCTGCGGTAATTTCAATTTGCTTAAAAGCTTGAAATGTTAATGGATGACAGAGTTTATTTTCACTTATATCAGGAAAAAACACAAGTTCTGAATAGCACAAATGACCAGTGTTTGACGAAATATCTCGTTCATATCACGGAAGTGTTAACACTGCTAGACGATACTCATATTTCTATCTACATACACGTGGAGGCTTGTCTTACCTTGGTTCCGAGCATTGCAGGTCGGTTAGCAGTGGCTACAGCTCGGCGCCGTGGCGTCAGAACATGGCGGACCCTGTTCAAACCCCGTTCGATGCTACCGAGGACTTTGCGGGCAGAAAGCGGGGGTTCGTTTGGAGTTTCGGTGCCTTCAGTTCTAAAATAATATCAATGGAGTAAACAATTAAAAGCAAAATCCATCAGACAAGTCTCGTAGGCCTAATCCGTCCTCTAAGGCACTAACAGACTACTAAAGGGAAGTTTGAAGTTTGAGGTCAACCAGACATTTTGTACGCATGGGGTTGCTGGGAAATTATCACTCAATTTTAGTTAAATTTCGTGAGGTGGGACACTTTAAATCCGGGAGGGTAATAAGACATACAGACAACGATGGATTATGCAATGGCACATAGCACAACACATTTAATAGTACAAAAATCTTCCTCAGAAAAGTTCATGATCCGAGATATTAAAGGGATTTCAAGTGGGCAAGATTCATCTTGAGTAAAATCCCGACATGTGTAGTTGTGTTCGGGACTTTGGACCACGGGTACGCTGTGATCGTCAATGTAAAAGTATTTCCACGTCCATAAATGACAGGTAACTAGCACACCAGTAGAATTCTCCTACACAGTTATGATACCAAATGTGTTCTTTAAAAATTTGCACAGTCTAACCCATTAGCCTTTTTCATTTACAAATGTATTCATATTTACTAAAACAACACCAAAACAATTGCAGTAATTCACAGATAACTTCTCTGAAACTAGTTACAGGTATATTACATATAAAGTGTTTCTCATACGAGTTGTGAATTGTAAACGCATCTGCGTGTTAATCGTTCGCGACAAAGAGCCATTTTTAAGAAAACCCAGGAATTCGATTTCTGCTTCAAGTAAATAAGCGGTTATATTGGACCGAGAGGACAAAACTTAAATGCCTCCGGCCACTTTCATGCACATCCCGAGTAGGTCTTACCAAATTTCGTCGAAATCCGTTGAGCAGTTTTAGATATGAAACATGCGAAGCTCTCTATAGCGCGTTAATTTTAATAATATCACGCAAAGAACACACAATAATCTACTGATCTTAATTTATTTAACGACACTGTTTCAACTACATAGGTTATATAGCGTTGGAAGAGATAAGGTTACAATGAATAGTGGTGAGTGGGTCGTGGCATTCACCTTTACAGGCGGAGGAAAAACACGAAAAATATAAGTCAGGACTGTCAATAGCCTGGCCCAGATTCGAATCGGATACCTTGCTAGTACAAGTCTAAACATTTACCGCTAAACTAATCGACTCGGTACCAAGTACGGCCTCGCTTAATGAAAAAGAAGACGAGGGCTACAGCGAGAAATCTGCAAACACGACAGTTTATGAATTCTCAGCTTTCCTTGTGTCATTACCAGGGGGTAGTATCCCTTCTACGCCGATGACAAATGCCCCACACGGACCTACAATAATGACTGCTCTCTACATTTGCATCATACACGTGGTACCAAGCATCTCTCCGCTTTCATACATCCACCAGTATTTTTTGTGTTCTTGATGTGATCCACCCTTCCTACGGCACAGTCAAGAGAAAAATTTGCATATAGAGTGGATACATTAGTATATATATACAACGAGGAGCGCTATTTGACATAGGCTAATGTCGGAAGGGGGGAGGAAACAGCAGAAGCCTCGTTACCACATCCCTTGTGCAGCCTTCCTTCATTCAAAAACCACAACTGTTTTAGGAAGGGTCCATGTAATTGAACTACAGTAGTAGGATCATCTTAGTTTCAAGAACTCAAATAGACGCCTATGACAAGTCTCAGGAAACCACAGTCTAATCAAATTTTCGCATGACCGATACCTAAAACAGCACTGAACTTACAAAGTAAAGAAAATTTTAAGTTTTTGAAATGCACTTATCAGTAAATCATGTCCGTTCGAAAGCAGCATTGCCCAACATACGGAGCTATATAGACTTATTATTATTATTATTATTATTTAGTGTTCTGTCTGACGACAGGTCCATATGAACAGGATCCTTCCATCCTTTTCTCGGACTGGGACCTGTTCATATACGTTCTTGGCAGATGATCCAGAAGTGGTTTGACATTGC